CGACGCAAAAAAATAATTAAAGATGCCGAATTAATGGGTTAACTAAAGTAAAACGCGCGCACGCGAAATTGAGTTCATTTTGTTTCTCTCGTGTTTAGACTGCTCAAGAGCCTAATTAAAAAGTTCTATTCACAAAGTCATTAGAAATTGTTTCTAGTTTGTAATAACGAGTAATAGCATTACGACGAGTATGAATTTATCTCTAAGCTCGTAATCGCGTTAATAGAGACGCACTGTACTACGTTAACGCACCAACATTATTCAGCTTGTAAGATAGATCGTATTCCTTCCATTTGAATCAGGCTCCTAAGAGTCGCGAGATGTAACACGTTATGATATATATTTCCTTCGGTAAAAATAATATCTATTGTATTTATTCACAAAAGAAGAAAACGCAATGTTCCTCGATTGAACAATTTCTTAATGAAGAAAATCAAAAATTAATTCTTCTTTTTTAATCGAACAACCTGTATTGATTTATCCTGTATATAGTATATAATAATCAATCGGCAATAAGGAAAGAAATAAAGAAAAAAAATCTCGCGTCTCTCGGCGACACTGCTACATAGTGTATATATATATACCGAACAACATTGCTACGTATTAAATATCTATAACGATGGAACGATTATTATCATCACTTTTATGATCACCGCGATAGATTTAAGCGATATCCATGAAAGCAACGTCCTTCCTAATTATTGTTTTTATGCCTTTTCAAGTTAAATCATATTCATATACAAACAGTGAAGTATGATGTTAAGTCAATGCATGCTTGTTGAAGCATGAATGAAACAGTTTTGAGTCGAAGAAAATCATATTAAAGATAAGTATTAAATGTTCCTTAAATATTTTATTGTTTGTTTTCGATCGATAAAAACGAAAAATCGCTGATGCGTGTATATCGTTTCAAAAACTGATTGATCGACTGGTTGATTCGGATCAGTAAAGCAATATTGTACGCATTACAACGGCTCGTGTAATAATAAAACGTTTCAAGAATACAATTTTATCTTTGTTTGCGATCTTAAGCAAATAGCATTGCCGATTACACTAATTTTTTCGTGCACGCAAACTTTTTTAAAAGGAAATACAAAGGTTAAAAGATATAAATACTGTGTCACGCAAAAATGGTATATCTTATATATTGAATCTTATATTTTCCAAAGTTCATATATAGTTTTGAACTATTCGTTTAAAAAAACATAATTCTGCTGAATATGTTTTTAAAATGCTATTGTTTGCAAATATATTCCTTACAATTATTCAAAAGTCATTCATGATTTATTTTTACAACATTCATCAAGATTACATACATCTCATAATCGTTTAAAATCATTTCAAAAACATTTCAATATTTTTTCATAATTTTTTGAAATCAAGAAAAAAAAATAAATTCAGTAGAATAATGTTTTTAAAAATTAAACTGTTTAAAATTTGAAAAAATTTTCAAGATGACCCAATAGTTATAATATTCTTGCCAAATGTGTAATATATCAAAATTTATTTGATATATTATTGATATCATATATCAATTATATGATATATTGAAGAATTAACATCCATTTCACGACAAATAACATTTATATATCACATCAACTCTTTGTAATGTTCTATTTTTAAAATTATTTGTTTTCGTCGCTTTATCAAATTTGTTTGAATAATATTTGAATAATATGATTATTTTATGCTTTAAAATGCTTCAAGTTCGCGCAAAATTATTCAAAAGATATAATATTCGTTTATCTATATCTTTAGAATTTGTTACTAAACAACTTTTATCTCATTACGTAAGACGATAAAATGTTTTATAGCTTATTTCGAAACAAAAATTACGTAGCAATACTTGTATAATTATTTTTTCCTAAACAAAGACAGTATGAGTTCATTATTATTATAGTATATTCATTATTATGAGTTCATTATTCATATATAATGGTGAACAAAATATAAACATTTTAAAAATTATTGAAAAAAACTAAAAATGAATTTATAAACCTGGATAGCTGAATAAACATTTGTTATCCAGATACAACGAATATATTGCAATAGTTTCAATTTATTTATTAAAGATAATAAGTTTAAAATTTTAACCTTTCGATATAATCATCATCACATAATGTTTTGATGGATATTATCGATAAAGTATTAATGTAATTACATACATACCTGATATGTATATACATTTAATATCCAAAAACATGTATATACATTTGTTTACAAAATATTTTATCATTTTAGACATGAAAGAATGCAATTTAAATTCAATTTTAAATCATCTTTTTTTTGCATATACTTATTTTAATCATTCATCCATTTACTTTTTCTTAACCTTACTTATCATCTTGCGAATTCATATCTTTGTATTATATTGTATCACGAGTTGCAAAATACGTGCAATTTTTTGATGATAAATAATAATCGATCATGTTCAAATAATAATGGTATATTTTAATGAACCTCACTTATATATTTATTACATTTGTTTTTTTATTTGTAAATTTTATTTCTAATTTATTTATAGCTGTATATATATATATATATATATTGCAATAAATATATATTGCAATAAAATATCGTACACTTCTCTAAAGAAAAATAAATATTAAATTATAAAATGCTATACTAGTTATTAATATCCATGGCAACAATTGTATACACAATTAACACAATTTTAAATTGATCAAGCTTAGCGAAATATAAACAACATGGCGAGTAAAAGAAATATTAAGTTACATGTAAAATATATCATTTAATAAATTAATCTTTTAACTATGAGGCATCAAACTGTTCTTATATATATATTATTGGGCAATTAGTCTGTTTGGCTCTTTTGATTATAATACCAAACTATTTAATTTCAAAAATGTCGACTGAGAAGGTAGGTTAATATATTTATTATTAAGAAGACTACAATTTTTTTATTTATTGAATTATAGCATTTAAAATTTTAATTATAATAAAAAATATTTAAAGATTATAATAAAGAAAATGTTTATCTATTTAAAATATATTAATCAGTATTTATTTTATTCATAATTATACTTACTTGTCAAATATTTTGGTACAGGTTCTTTATCAATTATATCAACCTCATGGTTCTGGTACTGTTTACATTTCATGGCGTCCTGGTAATAGTACTCATTTAGCAACTACTGGTTATGATTCCTCAGTTGCTATTTTTGATAGACAAGGTGATTTACAAGAACGTATTCAAATTGCTGGTCTTTGCACTGGTTTTGGATGGGATTCCGATGGAGATCTATTGGCTATTATATCTCAAAATTCATCTGCTATTATATTATGGGATGCAACAACTGGAAAAAAAACACAAATTGATGCTGGTGTAAGAGATGGATTAACATGTATGATATGGGCAAAAAGAACTTGTTTATTAGCAGTAGGAACACAGAAAGGAAATTTAATACTTTATGATCATATTAATTCAAAGTATGTTATTATGATTCTTTATATGGAATACTCTTATATATTATTATATATTATATATTAAATGATGAATTAATATGTAGACGAATACCAATTTTGGGAAAACACAAAAAAAAGATAACTTGTGGTGCTTGGTCTTATGAGGGTCTTCTTGCATTGGTCAGTGAAGATAAAATTTTAACTATTAGTACTAGTGATGGAGATACAAGACGTGAAATACCTCTTCAAGGAGATGCATCTGATATTCAATTTAATGAAATGAAAATGGATCACAGAGTTGGGGGTGAAAATACAGTATGATTTTTTCATAAATTAATAATATATAAAAATACCATATATTTCTGTGTTTATTTTCTGTGTAATTTGTTTTATTTTGTTATTATTTTCTAGGTATCTCTTATTATTAGTAAAACTACCTTATTTTTATATAATATTTTGGATCCAGAAAATCCTATTGAATTAGCTTTTCAAAAACGTTATGGTCCTATTATTACTTATAAATGGTAAGATTTAAATTATTAAGAAATCAATTATCTTTTTTTATTCCAAATGTTATATTTCAGGTATGGGGATGGATATATTTTAGTTGGTTTTCAAACTGGATATTTCACTGCAATATCCACTCACATTAAAGAAGTTGGCCAAGAATTATTTCAAGTTAAGAATCATAAAGATTCCTTAACTGATTTGGCTATAAGTCAAGTAATAGGAAAAATTGCTACATGTGGAGATAATAATATAAAAATACATAATTTACAAAATTTAGAAGAGACTGAAAAATTGATTACAATAAATGGTGAAACTGGTATTAGTACAATAGAATGGTCAATGGATGGTACAATGATAGCAACTGTGACTTATAGTGGAAATGTTTTAGTTTATTTAATACAGATCCCTAGATTATTTAGCGTTTATGGAAATAGAATTGCATTACTTACTAGTTTAACAGAAGTTACAATTTATCTTTATACATTGGATAAGGTAG